CGGAAACGGATACCCTCCTCAGAGTCGAGAACGGAACCCTATAAGCCAAAAAAAACTCGGGTTAGCTGCGTCATTCCCAATGGGAGCTAAAGGTTGTCGAGCTTACCTCCCAGACGAGAGACTTGATACCACGGGCACCACCGTAGGCCTGGTCGAGGGTAACCTCACCAATGACAGTGTTACCGTGCTCCCTGATGCATTTATTAGCTTTGTGGGTTCGAATAGGGATAGCGGGTCACATACTTGCGGAGCTTCTTGACCTTCTCGATCTCGGCGGGGAGCTTGTCGGCGAAGGTCTCCTTCAGGGACTAGATGACAGCACATCAGCGATGATCCGAAGCTTCCATCGATAGACAACGAACCTTGGCCTTAGCGGAAGAGTAGCAGCGCACGCCATTGAAGGCAGCAGTCTGCACGGGCTTCGCAATGGAAGACCGAAGAGCGGCAGTGCCGATTCTGAGAGAAGAAGCCATTTCAAGATAAAATGAAAAAAACAATGGGGGAGGAGATATGGACACAAAGCCTGGGGGAGAAAAAGAAGGAAGAAGGGAAAGACTGGGAGAAGCTCTTTTGCGGGCCCTGCAATTTTCTCGGTATTTTCCATCTGGCCGTATTACAGCCGGTACGGTCACAGTCCCACTCGGGACGCCGTGGAAGGGAACTCACCACGTAATTTTCCCCCAACGGTACACTTCGGGCTGCCGGCAGATCAGCTTCGGTTTGCGAAAAACGGAGCTCCAGCGTGTCCTGTACGTCATGGTACAATATATTGAATTGTGGTTGTAATTAATACATATCTCATGTCTTGTATTTAGTTAATTTAGTATCTAAGTTTATATCAATCGCCAACTTATATTTATATTACTCAAATTATGTCCGCTGTAATTGTATCCGCATTTGTCCCAGGGATCCGGAGTGACGGGGCGGTACGGGGGTAATACCATCCCTGAAGGCAGTGACGTCGGCAAGTCGCCATCTTTCGTGCCGCCTGTCCGTGTAAACCCTCGGTATAAAGTTCTCTTATCAGATTGGTGTAGATGGTCCTTGTTGAGATGCACCTGATACCGCCTTGACCTCTTTGGTTTCCTATTCTCCCCTAACTTATACGCCCGGGTTTCTGTAATGGGTCACCGAGGTCGGAAACTTCGGGCGGGATCAAGGGGCAGAATAGGGGCACGTTCTAGGTAGGATATTCCTCGGCTCAGTTCGAATGTCATTCCGACCGTTTCAAGAATGTAAGATGAATTGTGTTTGAGTCAAGTTCTCCCTTAGCTAGATTTCACTCATATCCATGGACCTAAAAGAACTGAAGATTACACATGTTTACTTTGGCATTATCAAGCGAAGAGCGTCATGAAATCCTTGCTATAGACCCCAGATCCCGCATCAGTCCGAGAATACGGAGTTAATTCAGATTTAACTCATTGATCAATCTCTCGTCCATGCTTCATTACGTGGCTTCATTGTTGGGGCCTTCTTTTCAACTATATCACGTGATGGTCACTTTGATGGTCCATACAATCCATTTATGTTCACTGATACCCACGTGATACTTGCTACGGTGGCGCACGCAGCCCACTTGTGCTGAACTGGGTTTCACGTGATTTGAACCAATCAAGCTAGCGCCCGAAGATTCTGCCGCCCTTCTTCCCCTTTGAAGCTCTTTGCATTCCTTCACCTTCCAACTCTCATCTCTCTATTTCATCAACTCATCGATCTCAGTCCATCTATTTGGACTCCGTAAAACCCTCTGGTTTCTCTCTGGATCTCACTTCGACACTAGGCTGTACATCCCCCCCGTACTCTCGTACTCGGCCAGGCAGCCTCTCCTCCTGGACACAATATCGCTAGGCTGTATTCAGCTGTAGGCGGCTGTTCTCTGTTCGACAGTGAATCCGCTCGTGGAGTCTGTAGTGAAGAATCGCAAATCACCGAGGACCCTAAAATATCTGCTCTCAGAGGACTTTCCGCAGTAGCTGGAACTCTCTCTCTCGATAGGCTTGGGCCAGAATTCTCATCTCTCTCTCCGTCTCTCTTTCTCTTTGTGCGCCTTTCATTCGTTCGCAATAGTCCTTCAGCCATGTCTTCCGCGGTAGCAGAGCTGGAGAATATCCTCCAATCCATGCTGGCTCTTAAGCCGCCTGGTGTATCGGGCTCCAAGATCGGTAGCATCACATCATTGTGCACTGCCAACGTGCAGGTACGCTTTCCCTGTTTGGTCGATACTTCGTCCCATTCAGCCCCCAACCCGCCGAGCGTCACGCTAACTTTGCTGCAGAATGAATCAGTTCTCATCCAAAAAATTTACACCCACTTCAAGAAGGCACCGGGCTCCCACAAGTTGGGTGTGCTCTATGTCGTAGACTCAGTAACCCGTCAATGGGTAGATGCCGCTCGCAAGGCTGGTCAGGCTCCTGGAAGCGAAGCCCCAGATGGAACCTTCGCAGCAGGCGTTAAGCGTGTCACTGATTTACTTCCTGTCCTGATGACCGACATCATTAACAACGCTCCCCAAGATCAAAAGGTAAGCAATAGATCTGTATCTGATATTCCCACATGGCATCCTTGGTGGAGGGCCAAGAACCTTTGTATAGAATTGCCCTATGTTTTCGGACATCGCCCAGGACGTTTCTGAACAACAAGCTCACGTATTATCGTCCCTCTAGGAGAAGATCAAGAAGCTGGTTGACATCTGGGAGCGTGGCAACACGTTCCCGGCGTCCATGCTGAGCTCTTTCAAGGAGAAACTGAACACCGGTAAGTCGATCCAAAGCCCGGGACCATTGTCCGCGGCGCACTCATTCGCTTCATTTTGTTTTCCTCTGGTCATATCTAACATTCATTAGCTGTTGAATCGCATACCCCCGAAGGCTCTCCTGCCCCCAACGCGACCCCACTCGGCGTTCCTCAGCAGCCCGCGGCTGCACCGGATACTTCGAGCATTCTGAAGGCATTGGCGGATATGGCAAAGCAAAACACTGCAGCTCCTGCGGCGCCGTCGGCCCCTGCTTTGGCCAACCCTATGGCTTTCAATGCTGCCGCAGCCATGCCCGCTGCGCCCTCCGCCGATTCGTCTTCGCATGCTGCTGCTGCCATGAACCCGTACGGCGCTGCTGCTCCGCCCATGAACCCCTTCGCCGCGATGGGGGGTGTCGCTCAGAACCCGGTCATTCCTCCCCAAAGCCAGAGTGGAACTCCTAACCCCATGGCCGCTGCCAACCCATTGGCTGCAATGATGCCTCAGACTTCCCAGCAGCCTGCCATGGATCCGGCTGCGATGGCCCAACAATTCCAGCTTCTTCAGATGCTTGCCGCCCAGGGCGTTCCCCAGGAGCAGTGGGCCACCGCTTTGCAGCTCCTCAGCATGAGCAGCAACACCAATGGTATGGGTGGTATGCCACCCGCAGGACAAATGCCTGCTATGCCCGGATTCCCTCAGATGCCAGGCCAGAACGTTGGCGGCTGGGGTCGCCCTGACTCGCAGAACCGGGATGATAGAGGCCGCGAGTTCCCTCGCTCCCCTCCCACTGGATACCGTCGTCGTTCACGCTCCCCTGGCTGGGACAGACGCCGTACTGCCTCGCCCCCTCGTCGTCGCGAAAGCCCTGTGTATGGAGAATATCACGGCGATTCCCCCGGTCGTCGTGGTGGAGATCCTCGTGATGCACGTGGTCGTCGTGGTAATGAGTATCGCCAGCGCAGCCCTCCTCGTGGCGGTGCCGGTCGACGTCGCTCGCCTTCGCCCGCTCATAACAAGGATCCTAACCTGCCTCCTCCCGGCCCCAAGTTCATTGAGTGGGATTACTCAATTGGCCAGGGTGTGATCAAGGTGTTGAGCCGAACTCTCTTTGTTGGCGGTGTCACCTCGTCGGAGACTCACCTTCGCCAGCTGTTTGGTCAGTTTGGAATCGTTCAGACTTGCATTGTTAACGTGGACAAGCGCCACGCTTTTATCAAGATGATCAGCCGTGGCGATGCCATGAGTGCTCGTGATGGAATGGAATCTTACCGTACTGGAGAGATGCAACTTAGAGTAAGTTTTGCGTGTGCCCTACCCCTCGCGACTTAGATCATGTTTGCTAACTTGTTTTTCTTTCGATTTAGACTCGTTGGGGTGTCGGTTTTGGCCCTCGTGACTGCAGTGACTACCAGACTGGTGTCAGCATAATCCCCGTTGAGCGTTTGACTGAAGCCGATCGCAAGTGGATGCTTACCGCCGAGTACGGTGGAACTGGTGGCCGTCCCATTGAATCTGGAATGATCGTTGAGGAACCTGATATTGAGATCGGCGCCGGTGTTTCTTCCAAGGCTATCAGTCGTCGCATCGCAACTGACACTGGAGGCAAGCGCGGTCCTATCTCGACCCGCGACGGCCGCTTTGGTGGACACCCCGGTGCTGCTCCTGGTGCTGGCGGTGGCGGCGCTCGTCGTGACCGTGATGGATACGGTGGCATGGGTGATGCCATCAGCGATCAGGCTCCCAACATGAACAACCCTGCTGTTCCTCCGGCTGTTCCTGCCTATGGTTTCAACTTCGCTAGCATGCCTATGTTGCCTCCTGGATTCATGATGGGCGGTGCTCAGGGTGGACCCATGTCTGGCGCTCAGCCTCCTAACGGCCAAGGCAACTAAACTGTTTTTCTTTCTTTTTCTTTCCATGTGTGCACATCTTGCATAGGTCCAGGGTTGCGCGAGGGACAAAAGGCGTTGGAGGATTGGAAATTTTTCGAGCGAGTTTTACTTTTTTTCTTTTTTATGGGAGGTCATTGTGATCTGCGGTTTTATTCTTATTGCTGTTGTCCTTGCATACCCCGATCATATTTTAGTTCACATACGTTAGGAATTACATCTTCTTGACATTATTACAACTCTGATAGTTGACTTTTAAAACTTCGTAACGTGTTTGCATGCTGAGTATACACTGTCTCGTGTATTCTGAACAAACGCCTAGCTTTGTAGTTTGTATGCTCTCATCTTGTCCTGCAACAGCACTCGGTCACTTACGCACTTCGATCTGGGACGGCCTTGGAAGCGCGGAATGACTGCTCAAAGTCGGCAATGATGTCGTCAATATACTCCGTGCCAACCGAGATACGAATACCATCCTCTGTAACCCCAGAGTCACGACGCTCCTGCTCTGACAGCTGCTCATGGGTTGTAGACCACGGATGGATAGCAAGGGTCTTGGAATCACCAACACTATAGTAGGTCAGTGCCATGCTCACCACATACGACAAACTCGAACGGTATCAAACATACTTAGCAAGATTAGAAATCAGCTTGAAATTATCAACAACCTGTGCACCAGCAGCCGCACCACCCTTGATACCAACAGACAAAACTCCCCCAAAGCCACGCTTCAGATACTTCTTGGCGAGATCATGGTTGGGATGGCTTTCCAACCCAGGATACGAAACCCAGCTAACGTTCTCGTTCGTCTGAAGCCATTGAGCCAGGGCAATTGCATTGCTAGCGTGCCGCTCACACCGCAGACTGAGTGTCTCAATGCCCAAGATGAGCTGCTGCGCTGCAAATGGGTTCAAGGCTGATCCAAGATCTCGTAGAATCTCGACACGCACCCGGATGGCATATGCGATAGAGCCAAAGGTCTCCCAGAACTTTAGTCCATGGTAGCCCTCTGAGGGCTCGATGAACTGTGGGAATCTGGCGCCATTCTTGCCCCAGTCGAACTTACCGCTGTCGATTACCACGCCCGCGATGGTGGTGCCGTGGCCGCCAATCCACTTCGTTGCGCTGTGCACGACTATGTCGGCGCCGTGGTCGATTGGGCGGATGAAGTAGCCGCCTGCGCCGAACGTGTTGTCTACCTATGGAAATAATGATCGTGTGAATTTCCATGTTCCTTGCTTAGATGCAAACTTCGCATACATACCACGACAGGGACGCCCTTTTCATGTGCCAGTTTGGCGATTGCCTCGAGATCGGGGACATTGTAACGCGGATTTCCGATGCTTTCGAGGAAGACAGCCTTCGTGCGGTCATCAATCGCAGCTGCAATATCTTCGGGCTTATCGCCCTGGACGAATTTGGTGTTTATACCAAGGCGCGGGAACATGACCTTGAATTGGTTATAGGTGCCACCATACAAGTTGCTAGTTGAGACAATGTTGTCGCCGGCATGGGCTAGGGCCGAGATGGCCATGAATTGCGCTGCTTGGCCAGATGAGGCTGCAACGGCGGCGACACCCCCTTCCAAGGCTGCAATACGCTTTTCAAATACATCTACTGTTGGGTTCATGATGCGGCTGTAGATGTTGCCGAACTCTTTGAGACCAAATAGCCGTGCGCCGTGCGCAGAGTCGTTGAAGACATACGAGCTGGTGGCGTAGATTGGGACTGCACGAGAGTTTGTAGTTGGGTCCGGCTCATGGCTTGACTGTTTAGCTGTGGAACCCTTTGTATCTGGATTATTTACTTACCCGGCGTGCAGCTGTAGCGTGTCAAAGTGATGGTTTTGGGGGTCGGACATTGGGAAAGCTTGTCGAACCTAGTACTTTTAATGTACAGCACTAAGGGGAGATGTCTTTTTGGAATCTGGTGTGAATTCCTAGAATATTTGACAGAGGAGGAATACAAATATCTAGACTTTGGGGTATAACCGAGGGACAGGGATGTCAATGGCAATGACGGGAAGTATATTGCGTGATCGACTGCGGTTGATCCTTGGCCTCGTGTCGGTTGCTTTGGTAATGGGGTCGTATATTATGCTGTAGACCGATTTACGGATCAAAGGGAACCAAATGGAGGAAAGTCAAATCCTTCTTTTTATGTAAAGCGATCATGTAGTGTGGCTTCCTCAGTTATATATACCAGAGAACCTCACGCATTTAGCCCTAAAACATAAAGCAACGACCACCCTATCAGTAAGAATATTGTATCTTATTGCCCCATCCTTTTACTCGCTATATAGCCAATTTAATTGCATTTTAATGCAATTGATCAGAATAGGTTACAGGACAAGGACACAGGTTTCGGGATACTTTTAGTTTCAAAAACTTTTGCTGGCTCATGTAGTCAAGAAGGGCAGCTCTTTCCATCGAACAGGCAAGATGGCCGAGTTGGTCTAAGGCGTCAGGTTAAGGTCCACCTTAACTCCTACTGTTTCAGCAGTTTCCTGATCTACGTTTGTAGGCGTGGGTTCGAATCCCACTCTTGTCATTTCTTTTTTTGTTTTTGTTTTTTTGATTCAATTTTAAACTGTCTACCATACTCCAAGTAGGCGTCATTCTCGACTAATTTTTTCTCCTCCATCGGACGGAATACACGATTCTTCCCTAAACCCGCTGTACCGGTATCTCTATCCTATATACACCGACCAAGCTAAACCAAACACCGAAACGACCAATGCGCCTGACATGCTTGTGTTTTTGTTTGCTCTCATCGGACAGGATTGACAACCGTTCAGAAAGGTTGCATTGAATACCCTCGCATTTTGTCGAGAAAATAGTTGTTACGATGAGTGAGCTAATTCATATCAATCCCGCTTTAAATCGAGGGTATGAAAGAGGTAACACCAAGACCGTATAGCCACCAGCGATACATACGAATAGAGCACCTGGAGATCCTGAAGCACAGGTAGTTCTACTGCAAATGACGTATGGATGCCTTCTTTCCCGGGCTCACACTCCCCTATAGTATACGATAATGTCACCGAGTAGGCCCCGTGAGCCCCATGACTCTCTCCCAATCTGGCTGCCGTGCAGTCTCCTCGAGGATTTAATAACCCAAGCTGACCGTGATGGCTGATGGTTGGGATCTTTCGTTGCTTGCCGTCTATATTAGATTATGAGTAGAATGTGCGAGTTCGTCGTTACGTCCCTGGGCGAATGATAGCCCCCGAAGATACGACATCCGGCAATAACACATTCATATCCTCTATCCATGTTGTTTTGACTGGTTTAAGTATCTCAAACTTTTCATTGACACCGGGCAGAATTGCAGAAGAAGTCTGTACAGATAGACAAGGGCCTAGCGTGGATTTCATATAGGTCAAGATAGACAAGCAACGGTAACCATAGTATCCACACCATAATTTTCACAGGTATGATTACTATTGGCTATAACTATTTATTAGTATTCAACAGATCCCGAGTCATAGACAGAGTGAGAGAGATGTGATGGTCATTGTGTATCGTGATGCCATACCAAGAGTGAAGCTACACCTAAGCTGATTCGGCGAGAGGGTGGTGACTTGACCTGATTAACGTGATAGGAAGATGTAGGAGCATAAAAAAATAAAACATTACGAGCAGTTCGAAAATAAGTGACAGAATTCATGAGGTTTGTATTATTGACCAGTACGGTTAGGTTACGTTAGGGCTATGGAGATTTATGCTTTCGCGGATGCTTTCGCTTATGTAGTCAAAGAGGGCCACACTTTCCATCGAACAGGCAAGATGGCCGAGTTGGTCTAAGGCGTCAGGTTAAGGTCCACCTTAACTCCTACTGTTTCAACAGTTTCCTGATCTACGTTTGTAGGCGTGGGTTCGAATCCCACTCTTGTCATTTCCTTTTTGTTCCTTGTTGTTCATGGCTTGATTGGCTTGATGGGTACCAAGGGTCGATTTTTTTTATTCCCCTTCGTATGAAACAGCCGCTATACATAGAGAGAAGAATATTGTGAAGGGGAGGAAGGAATAAGGGTATTGATGATCGAAATCGTGAACCAAAGTCTACTAGATAGTGATAGTTACTACAGCTTATGGTTGTTCCTAGTCTCTTTTCACTTTTTGTATGTTTGGTAGGCGAAATGGCCAATAGTACGATTCTACTCGGCACAGTCTCTCAATACATCGATGTACTCTGATGTTAAATCCTAAATTTCGGGCAACTACTTTCATTAAATATTTAAATCTATAGCTGACTTTACAAGACTTGTTGGTTATATGCTTGAAGGTAGGGTAAATCCTGCTATCATATGATCGAGCATAGTATCTAGAAGAGACACTAGAGCCATGTGCCTGTAGGAAGTCTATCTTTTCATACTACAGCCCGTTCTTATAACACAGACCTACGTGATCTTTGTATATGTTACGTACAGTTTACATTCCAGCGACAGTTCGCTTAACTTCTCAACCATGACCAGCTCCTGCTGGTATAACCTGTGATAACACAGAGCAATGCTATTATATTGAAAAGATCTAGACTTACCTCGAGCCGTGGGCTCTAGTAAATATGGACAGTCAGTTATATAGGAGATATAGATTGTATAGACCATCAAGCATATCGCACTATCATCTTCTTGTTATCTCAAATTACCAAGTTATACAAGTCGGAACCCTGTTGAAATTGGCATGTGAGTATCCATGGTAGATATTCTAGATAAATAGCAAAATAAGATACAATGCTAGGTTAGTTCATACAGGAAAGGTAATCGAGAACGAGTTTCAAGGGTTAGTTAGTATAGTACGCACCTCATTTAAGATAGTCAGAGCGTCCTAGCAAATTAGGATGGAATCATATAAGTTAGAGAGGGGGAAGACACATGATATTACACTTAAAATGTCCCCCCAAATATAATAAAATAAAGAGCAACCAGTCGTAGAGATCGTTATTACTAACTTATACTATACCGTGGGTACAAAAATATAATTAAGGGCAAAAACAAAAAAAGAAATGACAAGAGTGGGATTCGAACCCACGCCTACAAACGTAGATCAGGAAACTGTTGAAACAGTAGGAGTTAAGGTGGACCTTAACCTGACGCCTTAGACCAACTCGGCCATCTTGCCTGTTCGATGGAAAGAACTGTCCCCTTTGACTACATAATCGGCAGCCAGTAGAATAGGAAAATTTAACATCAAACTACCAACCCACATACATAGACAGGTAACTATACAGTAATTTTATTTATAATTTTCCATACTCACAGGTAATTTTTTTCCTATATTCTTTTTGCCATATCATATATATCTATGGATAAAGTGTATACGGCTTGTTGATCAACAATTATTCACATTTACAACCGAAATATTTGGTAGGTAGTATACATCAAGCACAGGCTATGAAACCATGGCCTCCAAAACAAGAGAAACAAAATAGTACAATATATATCAAACATAGAGCGGATGAATCAATCATGCCCACTGCCGAGGGTGTTTCAAAACATCCATAATTTCCTTCTCGCGAGTCTTATCCGTGGTCAACTCTTCATCCTCGTCCACGACCATATTCTCTGTCCGTGTACCAGAAACTGGGTCCATGTAGGCCCAGCTAGCAGTGCGAGGGAGACTCATCAGGATACTCTCAATGCGGGCATTCGGTGTGCGCAAGCCGAAGCTGGTTCCGCGATCATAGATAAGGTTGAACTCTACGTAGCGACCACGACGAAGCTGTTGCCACTCCTTCTGCTCGGGGGTGTACAGCATGTCCTTCCGCCGCTCAATAATAGGGACGTAAGAGGGGAGGAAAGATGCTAAGCCATCAGAGACGAACGAAAACAATGTCTCCTGAGGGTTGGAAGATGACCCAGCCGAGGTTTGAAGGAAGTTGGCGTCGAGGTCATCGAAGAAAATGCCACCAACGCCGCGGCATTCGCCACGATGGGGAATGTAGAAGTACTTATCACACCATGCCTTGAACTTGGGGTAGTATGTAGCATCGTGGCGGTCGCAAGCATCCTTGATGGTCTTGTGGAAATGCTGCGCATCCTCGGGGAAGAGATAGGTCGGGGTCAGATCGGTGCCACCTCCGAACCACCAGTTCTTATCTCCGTTGATAGGATCCTTGGGATCAGAGGTCTCGAAGTATCGGTAGTTGAGGTGAACAGTCGGGGCCATTGGGTTGTGTGGGTGCAAGACAAGCGAAAGACCAGCAGCGAAGAAATCCAGCGAGTCCACGTCGGAGCCAACAAATGATTTGTGATCCGCACGCATTTTCTCAAGGGCAGGCCGAGGCAATTGGCCGTACACCACAGAGACATTCACGCCTGCCTTCTCAAAGACGTTACCGTCCTGGAGCACACATGAAATACCACCGCCACCATTGGGACGCGTCCAAGTATCTGTCTTGAATTGTGTTCCATCGATCCGGCCTAATTCCTCGATAATCTTTTGTTGGTGATCCTTGATGAGCTTTTCCATTCGTAACCGCATCGGCGAGGACTCGTTGATGACGGATGATTGCTTGAGGGCCTCATCTATCTCAACCATGGAAGGGGATTCGAGTTCAGTGACTTCTTCGTTCATCTATAAAAGATCTTAGTATATTCACATCCCACAGAGGAAGTGACGATCCCACCATCGAGTAGATGATCGCGCCAATGAACGGCACTCCAATGGCGAGCCGCAAATACGGTCTCCAAACGGTGAAGGGCTTTTGTTGGCTGGGTTTCCCCTCAGTAGAATATCCGCGGAACGAAGGCGCAACTCGACGACCAGCAATGCGCGTGCTGCGCGTGGACAACTGAGCCAGCGACCTCCGCAGAGGCGTGTATGATCGGGTAGACATTTCGCAATTGAATCAACTGCA